TAGTATCAGAGTAAATTGGCCTCAAAAATAAGCTGAAAAGTCTTCACTTCTAATTTCACTTGGGGAAAATCTTCTGAAAGATTGCTGTTATTTTCTTCATTAAAGATTTGGTTTAGAGTTTACTGGTGAAGTCAATCCGCCCTGGACATTTCTTTTTGGAAGTTTTTAAAATTACTGCGTCAGTTTCTCTACTGGTTATGTGCATGTTTAGGTTTCCTTTTCTCTCTCTTCTTGAGTCTTGAGTTTTGGTAGTTTGTGACTTTCTAATAATGGATCCAGTTAAAATAAGTCGTATGATTTTTGTAACATAATTGCTCATGACATTTTCTCATAATCTTTTCTTATTTGTTTCCATAGGTTGGGCTGTGATGTTGCCTCTTTCAATCTTGATTTAGTATTTCCAGCCCTCTCTATTTCTTAGTAAAGAAATAAAGACGTTTGTCAATTTTGTTGAAAACTAACCAACCTTTGTTTTCTGGTCTTTATTTAATATATTTTGCTCTTTCTTTATTATAGTTCCCTCTGCTTTTGGATTTGTTTTTGTTTTGTTTCCAAATTTGTCTTTAAGATTTTTTATTTGTTCTTTTTAGTTACATATGACAGTAGAATCTATTTTGACATATCATAGGTACATGGAATATAACTTCCCATTCTTGTGGTTGCACATGATGTGGAGTTACACTGGTCATGTTTTCATATATGAACATAGGAAAGTTATGTCCTGCTTCTAGATTCTTAAGATGGAAAGTTAGTTTATTGATTTGAGGTCTTTATTTAATGTAGGCATTGATACATTATTTTCCCTCTGAGCTGTGGTTTTGTGACATCTCCTCTAAGTTTTGGGATGATGTAATTTCACTTACATACCTTTCAACTACTATCTAATTTCTTTGGTGATTGTTTCCTTGACCCATCATTATTTCGTAGGTGTGAATTTAACATTCCAAATATTTGTTAATTGCCCAAATTTACTTCTGTTTTTGATATCTAATTTAATATTTGCTGGAGTACATATTTTTTAAAATATTTTTTTAGTTGTCAATGGACCTTTATTTTTACTTATTTATATGTGGTGCTGAAAATTGAACCTTGTGCCTCACACATGCTAGGCAAGTATCTACCACTAAGCCACAACCCCAGCCCTGGAGTACATATTTTGTATGATTTAATCCTTTTAAATTTATTGAGACTGGTTTTATGACTAACACATGGCTTATCATGAAGAATGGTCCACATGTACTGGAGAAGAACGTGTAGTCTGATCTTGTTTGAGGGATTTTGTTCCATAGATGATTTGTATTAGGTCTCATTTGTTTAGCATTATTCATATCTTTTCTTTCCTTGTTCTCTAGTTGTTGATCAGTTATTGAAAGAAGATATTGCAATTTACGAATTTTATTTTTGAGTTGTCTATTTCAATCTTAAATTCTATCTTAGGGTATTGTTGTTAGGTGCATATATGCTTATAATTGTTATATCTTCCAAATGGATTGATTTTTTTAAATATTTATAAAATGTTTCTCTTTGTTTCCAGTGACTCTATTTGTGTCAAAGTTTATTTTGCCTAAAGTAATGTAGCCATCCAGCTGTCTTTCTGTTACTGTATGCACAGAGTAACTTTCTCTATCCTGTAACTTTTAACTTGTTTGTGTTTTTTAATTTAAAGTTCATCTCTTATAAACAGCATATAGCTAGATCATGTTTCGTGTTATTTTGTTTTGGGCACTAGGGATTGAACCCAGGGGTGCTTTATCACTGAGCTACATCCCCAGTTCTTTTTATTTTGAAACAAGGTTTTCCTAAGTTGCTAAGGTTGACCTGTCACATCAGGCCAACACTCTACAACTGACCCATGTTCCCAAACCCCCCTTTTTGCCAAAAGGAACCCTACCACTGAGCTACATCCTCAGCCTCCCTTTAACCATTTTAAATGCCCTTTGTATTGGCTCTGACAAGAAGTTTGCTGTCATCTTTGTTTTTATTTCTCTGTATTTAATATGTTTTTATTTTGGGGGTGCTATTTTAAGATTTTCTTTTCTTTTTACCACTGGTTTTGAACAATTTAATTACAATGTGTCTTGCTGCAGTTTTTTCCAGCCACAGTACTTTAAATTTACAAAATACCAAAAAGTGAAATATTTAGGTGCAAATCAACTAAACATGTGCAGGACCCGCATACTGAAAACTGCAAAATATTGATACCAGAACTCAAAGGAAACTTAGAAGAGACATACATTTATGAATTGGAATGTTCAATATAATTAAGAAGTCAATAACTCCAAATTGATCTACACATTTTGTGTAATTTCAACTCTACCTAAGATTTTTTTGTAGAATAAATAAGTTTATTCTAAAATTCATATGGAAAGTGAATGGAACCAGAATAAAGAAAACAATTTTGAAAAGGAAGTAAAATTTGCTGGATGTGGTGACACACGCCTGTAATCCCAGCTGAAGCAGGAGGATCAGGAGTTCAAAGCCAGCCCCAGCAATGGCTAGAAGCAGGGCAATAGGAAACCTCATTCAATGATGGTAGGGATGAAAAATGATGTAACCATTCTGGAAAACTTTCTTCTTATATCTTAAACATACACTTGCCATATACCCACTCTTTTTTTTTTAGATCTTTATTTTTATTTTTTTAGTTGTAGATGGACAATGCCTTTATTTATCTTTATATGATGCTGAAGCTCGAACCCAGTGCCTCACACATGCTAGGCAAGTGCTCTACCACTGAGCCACCACCCCAGCCCCATATACCCACTCTTAGGTATTTACCCCAAAGGAATGAAAATGTGGGCTGGGATTGTGGCTCAGTGGTAGACCACTTGCCTAGCATGTGTGAGATCCTGGGTTCGATCTCTGACATCACATAAAACCAAACAAATAAAATAAAGGTATTGTGTCCATCTACAACTTAAAAAAATTAAAAATAAAAAAGAAATGAAAATATAAGTTCACACAAAAACTTTGCACAAATGCTTATTCTAGCTCTACTCATAATTGTCAATACCTGGAAGTGACCCAAGTTTCTTCTCATTGGGTAGGTGAATGGGTAAATACACTATGGTATGTCCATTCATGGACTATTGCTCAGCATAACTGAATGCTGAATATCCCCCAAGGACCAATGTGCTTGGTCTTCAGCCTGGTGTCAGTGAGAACTGGCAGAACCTTTAGGACACGGGGCCTAGTGGGAAGTCCTTGGGTCCATGGGCGCATTCTCTTGAAGGGGATTATTATATCCCCATCTCTTCCTCTTGCTCTTTGGTTCCTGACAATAAGGCACTGTTTTGGTCTGACGTACACTCCCCTTAATGATGAAATTGCACCCCCACTAGAGGGGGCCCAAAAACAATTGTTCTGCCAGATAGTGGACAGGAACTTCTAAAACCATGATACAAAATAAACCTTTTATCTTTTTTTCAATATTTATTTTTTAGATTTTTAGGTGGACACAATATCTTTATTTTTTTATTTTTATGTGGTGCTGAGGACCGAATCCAGTGCCTCATGCATTCTAGGTGGGCACTTCACCACTGAGCCACAACCCCAGCCCAAACCTTTTATCTTTGTTAAGTTACTTATCTCTGGCATTTTATTATAGTGATGGAAAACTAACTAATATACTCAGTAAGGTAATAAAAATAATTGAATTTCAGATACAGGCACCAGTGGAGGTGAATCTCAAAGGCCATCATCATATTACATACTCTACAATTATATTACATACTGTACAATTCCATTCAATGACATTCTATAGAAGGCAAAGCTGTATGGACACAAATAGATCAGTGATTGCCAACAGTAGTTGGTGGTGGAACTGTTTGACCGAGAGGTCAAACAATAAATAATAAAATAAAATGAATAAATTTGCCTTATTCATTTATTTATTTTAATGACTTTTAATCGGTGAATAATATTTCATTACATGGCTATACATTATATATTTCTACCTTTTGGCTATTATGAATAGTATTGCTACAACTATACATATACAAATTTTCATGTGGACCTATGTTGCAACGTTTTGGGGTATATACCTAGAAGTGGAACTTACTGGGTCACATGCTAATCATATATTTATATTTTTGAGGAACTGGAAAACTCTTTTCTGAAGCATTGGCACCAGTTTGTATGCTTACTGTCACTGCATGAGTTTTCTTGCTTCACATTCTTTCTAGTAGATGTATATTATTTTCTCATGATATTCTTCATCTACATTTCCTAAGCAACCAAAGGACCAATGACAATAATACATTTTCATGTGTTTGTTGGCCATATCTTCTTAGGAGAAATGTCTATTGCATACCCTTTGCCCATTTTCAAACTGAGGGTTTTTGTTGTTGTAGTGTTGTTGTTATTGAGTTGTAAGAGTCTTTATATATTTTGGATACAAGTCCCTTTCCAGAAGGGAAATTTTCCAGGGAATTTTTTCTTTTGTTTTGTGGATTGTCTTTTCACTTTCTTGATTGTGTCCTTTCATTGAAGTCCTTTTCTAAAAATTGTATTGATGCTGGGAATTGAACCCAGGGCCTTGTGCATGTGAGGCAAGCGCTCTATCAGCTGATCTATGTCTCCAGACCGCTGAAGTCCTTTATTTTTAATTTGATTCTCTAGGTCCAGTATATTTGAAATATATCACACATCTTTTCTTATCAGCCATGGGCTTCTTTCTTATTTCTGCTTTTGTTATATAAGCCTAAGCCATAATAAGCCTCCCCCCCACTCCACCCCGGGGAAGCAGAAATGCATGTAGCAGCATTTAGGACAGAAAGTTAATTTATTTCAAAATCAGATTTTTGGTAAGACTGAAAAGAAATTTCTAAATTGCTGCAACCTGCATGGCCATTAATCCTGGAAATCGGATGGAGCGATGAGGGGATGAAGAAAAGACAAAACAGACACACAAATAGAGAAAAATCTGGGTCACAGGTGGTTCTCTGTCCCCTGATGAGGGATGGATGACCCAGATTCAGCGCAGCATGTTTATTCTATAGGTCTTAACATCAAAGGGGCTTTCTGTGAGAGTGTCTTCAAGGCATACAGGGTGGAGGATGAACTTTTGTGCAGCCCAGTTACAGTTATCAGCTTGCACCCATAATTCTCTGCCCCCACCCCCGGGAAGCTGGCATCTGAACCTGAGGTCAAGAACTGATAAATCCGTGGCTGGCACGGAATCTCCTTCTGAACAGAGTGTCACCATAGCAACCAGGAGATCTTCTCCACTCCTTCAACCTGAAAGTCCCCAAGAGAGGCACTGCCTCTGCCTCCAGAAGCTAAGGACCATACGTTAACTGCTGCTCCTGACACTGAATTCCGAAGATTTCCTCCATATTCCAAGGACAGAGCAGGTGGACTGCTTTTGAGTTTTTGCTGTAAAGCCCCCATGAGGAGAGAGTGCTATGGAAAACAAGTTTTCAGATCCCGAGGGGGAAATGGGAAAGAACTTCCGGAATTAGGACCTGGAGAGGGCAATGTGACAGGGAAGCAGTCAGATGCCAAGTCCAAACCTCCAGAGATAGCTTGGTTAGAAACAACACTTCTGCAGTGTCCCCCCCAAGCCATCTTGGAGGAGACTCTGGCTACCTCAGTTCCAGATTACCACTGCCCTTCCTAGGCAGACCGGCCATATCTGAGGGAGCCATCTGGCATCAAATGGACCAGAGGTACAGTGTCCTGACTGACCACGACCACGCAGGTAACCTGAGCTACGAGCAGGGTGGTCTGAACATGGAGGCCGCAGTGAGAGGACTTTGAAAAGAGACGGAGGCCCAGGACCATTGGCTTCCACAGCAGGAGCAAGCAGGCCAACTCAAAGGGGGACGAATTGGTCCGATTGTCCCACTGTCCCAGAAGTGGAACAACTGCAAAAACTTAAATATAGCCTCTAATAGAACAGTATTTCAGATAGCTATCTAAAAGAATGCAATTTTAGTATAATAATTATAATACATTAATTTGTATTAATAAATATAATAATAGGTAAGCTCTAGATTATTATTTACAACCTATTTTAATGCACCTGTGTCAATTTTATTGAAATGGTCCCATAATTGAAAACTTGGAACTTAAGGTAATGTATGATTCTGGTAGGATGCTCAGAAGATCAGAATGCACATAGGAATATGGTCCATGCCATGCCATGTCCATTTTGTCCATGCCCTGAGACTTTGTGTGAGGCCAAGTTTAAAGGTGATGGATAGTTTATCTGTGGTAGGAAATTTTGAGGCGACACAACATTCAATCTGCTCTTAGTCAGATTTACAGTGGTAATTGGGAGCAAAAAAAACAGAATGCAAAGATTGAAAAAACTTGAAGTTTGGAAAAAAAGAAAAAAGTAAGACTGGGACCAAGAAGGATGTGGTCGCTAATAAAAGGAAGCTAAGTAGTTTGTGCTAGGACAATAGGAAACATGCCTTGAATGCATCTCAGGAATTGGCTAGACCCCACTCATTGCACGCTCAAGGCCATAAAGTATAAACTGACTTGAATGACCGCTTTGAGAAGGGAGTGCTAGGGGCAGCCCACTCCCACAGGGATGGCTAGGACATTGCTACCTCATAGGGTCATTGTGAAGATGCCTCGAAACCAAGTGCTTTGCATACTGTGTGAGTCATCATGAATGATACCAAACAACACACAAGGTAACAGTGATTGGCGGGGCTACTATGTATACGGCTTAGTTCTAAGTGTTTGAAATGTAAAAACTCGTGCAATTCCATAATGACCCTGTGATGCAGGTGCTACTATCACGACCATTTTAAAATGAGAAAATTCAATCCAAGAGATGTTTTAAGACACGGCAAAGTGTTGTAACTGGTAAGAGACAAAGTCAGAACTAAATACAGGCAGACAAGAGCTCCCAGGCCTGTGCCCTTGAGTTACCATGCCAAGATCAGGGCTCCAGCCCCCATTCAGAGCCATTGATACTTGAATCCATTTCATAGAGCATGGCAGGTGGGGACACCCCATGAAGGAAAGGTACCATCCTGAACTTTGTGGCTATTAAGTCCAATGTCTGGATTTGAACCCTGGTTCTAACATTTACTCGTGGCCTAGTGTATTCATTATCTGGGGATGTATATAAAAATCACCCCCCAAACTTGGAGGCTTACAGCAGCAAACATTTATTTATTTATGTGGTATGAGGGATTGAACCTAGTGCATGCTAGATAACCGCTTTATCAGTGACCTATATCCCCAGTCCTTGAGGTTTGTTTGGCCCCCGTTTTAGGATTTCGAAGTTAGTTTAACTGCCTCTGGTGAGAGCAGCAGATGGCATCACCTGACAACAGGGTGTGTGCAGTAGCAAAAGGTCACAGATTGAACCAGGAAGCAGAGAGAGGAGAGGGGCCGGGCTTGTTCTGTTTATAATAACCCTCTCAGTAGAGCTACAAAAGGGTCACACAAGAACTACCTTAACCACCTTTGGAGAACCTCTCTCTAGGCCCCACTTCTTCAAGTTTCTGCCACCTGTCAATACTGCCACCCCAGGGACATGGACCTTTGTGGGGAGGCACTTGACATCCAAACCATAGCAATGACGTGGTCTTAAAAGTCAAACAACACCATTTTCACTATATCTTATTCATTAGAGGAAAATAACTAAATCCAGCCCACACTGAAGGAGACAAGAATTAAGGTCCATCTCTCTCTCTCTTTTTTTAAAGATGTTGAGGGACCTTTATTTTGTTCATTTATTTATTTGTGGTGCTGGGGACCGAACCCAGGGCCTCACACATGCTAGGCAAGCGCTCTGCCACTGAGCCACAACCCCAGCCCCAAGGTCCATCTCTTGAAAGTATCAAATTTTTTATTTAACATGATTACACCACGGAGCAAGCTATTTACCTCTCTTTGCTTCAGTTTTTTTCATCCTTTAAAATGGGTTAATATTTTTCATGGTGATTTCTTTTCTTTTTTAAAAATATCTTTATTTTATTTATTTTTATATGGTGCTGGGGATCGAACCCAGTGCTTCACATGTGCTAGGCAAGCGCTCTACCACTGAGCCAGCACTCCAGCTCTCATGGTGATTTCTTTCTTTTTTTTAAAAAAAATATATATATTTTTAGTTGTAGTTGGACACAATGTCTTTATTTTACTTATTTCTTTTTATGTGGTGCTGAGGATCCAACCCAGGGCCCCGCACGTGCTAGGCAAGCACTCTACCACCGAGCCACAATCCCAGCCCTCATGGTGATTTCTTTTTGTGAGAAAATTCACTTAAAGAGTCTGACTTGTGTTTAACACATAGTAGGTCTCGATATACGTTAGTCATGATTGACATCCACTATCAGTTGCACTGAACATGGTTCATTCTCTAGTCTCTTCTCATCTGTCATTGAATTAATGTCAGTTCTGTTCAAGGCATTCAAAAGCTATTTACTAAATATATGCCTAAGCAAATTTATCAAACAACCTACTATATGCAAGCACTGATTTAAGCACTAGGAACATAGCAGTGAACAAACCAGATTAGCCCTCATGGGATTTAACTCCAAAAAGGGAAGAGAAGACAAAAAAAAATCCACAAGTAAACAATACAGAAAAAAATTCCAGAAATTAAAAGAAAATAAAATGTGGTCATACATGCAAAGTAGAATCCAGTGAGATACTACTACACACCCCGCCCCCACAGCTAAAATTAAAATGACTGACAATATGAAATTTGATGAGGGTGTTGAGCCAACAGAGCTTTACAGTAGTGCAAACTCTTCAGAAAAAGTCTGATGGTTTCTTTTTTAAAGAAAAATATTTATTTTTTAGTTATAGGTGGACACAATATCTTTATTTTATTTTTATGTGGTGCTGAGGATCGAACCCAGTGCCTCACGCATACGAGGCAAGCGCTCTTCCTCTGAGTCGCAACCCCAGCCCCTCTGATAGTTTCTTATAAAACAATGTATGCCCAGTCTGTTACTCAGAAGTCCCACTCTTAGGCATTTACTCAAGGGGAAAAAAAGTACATCTGTGAGAGACCAACCTTGCACGTGACTGAGTCACACTCCCCTGCTGGGTGTTGAGGTGCTCAGTCACAGAAATGTGGCAGAGCTCTCCCCACCCTTCTTGGGTGCGAGGGTTGGTGTCTCCTGCATGGGTGTGTCTTGCTACAGCCCCACGGGTGGAGCTATGCTCACCTGTTCCTTTGTAATATAACCCCTTGCCCTGTTTAGGATAGAATCTTCCATGGAAGTGCCTTGTGTGTGTCCCCTCCTCTTACTGTGCCCTTGGGTGTGGCCTACCCAGGTGTCAGTCAACCTGCTGACAGGGGACATTATGAAGATAGACTCAGCCCCCTGAAACCTGACCCCCTGCCTCAATTGAATAGCTTCCTCAATAAAAGGGGTCAGCGCGTGCTCTCTCGCTCCGTCTCTTCCTGTGGACCCTTAAGGTCAGAGGAGCTGTCACAGTGACCCCAAAGAAAAAGGTATTTGTGTCTCTTGTGTGCTTATTTTGCCCAGCCCAGTCAGCCCAGTTCAACTGGAGTGACCCTTGAGCAATTTGGTTGCAAGAACAGAAACCTAGTATACATCTACTCAAAGACTTTTATGAATATTTGGAACAGCTTCATCCTTAATAGGCCCAAACTAGAAACAACCCAATGTCCATCAGTAGAAGATTGGGTAAACAAACAGTATATTCATGCAATGAAGAACTTAGCAATAAATAAATAATAAACAAGTGTCTAATACAGCTGGTAACATAAATCTTTCTCCAAAACAATATGTTGAGTGAAAGAATTCAATCAAAAAAAAAAAATGTAGTGTATGATTGGGCTTACAGTTCTAGAATAGGCAAAACTTCTCTATGGTGAAAACAAAACAAAACAAGGAGGCAATGGACAAGAAGCAGAATGGAACTTTCTGGGGAGAAGATTTCTATATTTACCTGTTTGATAAGCTGATTGCCAGACACATGAGTTATATAAATTTAACTGATCTACAATTAAATAAATTTCAATTCCTCATTCATAATAACCACATTTCGAGTACTCCATAGCCACATGAGGTAAGTGGCTACTCTATTGGCACAGATCCTTTCCATCCCTGCAGATGGTTCTAAGACATAGCACTGGTCTATATCTCGCCAGAGTGTGGGTCACATATTTAAACATATTTATTAAAACTCATGGAATATGTGTTAGTCAGCTCTTCATTACTGTAACAAAATACCCGAGGCAATCAACTTACAAAGAGGAAAGATTGAGTTTGGTTCTCATCTTTGAAGGTTTGCAGTTCATCAGCAATTAGCACCGCACCGTTGCTTTGGGTCTGTGGGGAGGCAGCATAACCTGATGGGGAGTATGTGGTAGAACAAACTGTTCACCTCAACATCCCCTGTAAGGGTACGCCCCCAGTGACCTGAGACCTCATGCTAGGCCCCATCTCTTAAAGATTCTACCACCTTCAATCAGTGCTACCCTAGGAACTAAGCCTTTAGAGCATGGGCCCCTGGGGGAATATTTTACATGTAAACTATACAGAATGGTAAAACTGAGATCTGTGCATTAAATACATGTATTTAAATATATCAAACTCACTTCAGTCTACCTAGGCTGAAGCATTTGGGGATGAAGTGTACTAACATCCACACCTTCCTTTGAAAAGCTTCAAAGAATAAGCTGCACTGATGAACGGGTGCAGGGAGACACAGGCCCACAGTGTTAGTTAAAGTGAACAAAGCTGTAGAATGCAGATGGATCTACTTGGCATACTTCTTTCAACTTTTCTGAATGTTTGAGATTTTTCATAATAAAATTATGGAGAAAAGCATGGCAATGGAACTAAAGAATCAATATCTGGGTGAAGAAGCACGATGGGAAATCTTTGTTGGGTCGGGGTAGGTATCAAAGAATAACTAGGAAGGTTATTTCAGGAATCACATTCACACATTCACTCATTCATCCAGGATACAAGGATGAACCAGAGCTGGTCTTCACCCACTGTGTTCTCCAAG